TTTATATATATATATATATATATATATATATATATATATATATATATATATATATATATATTTACTGCCTACAAAACGGTAGTTAAATTGTATTATTATTTTTACCAAGTGTCATTATTATTATTATTATTTTTTTCTTTCCCCCTTTTCATTATTATTATTATTATTCAAATTTTTTTAATAGCAATGAGTGTTGTTACGACTGCTAAATATTCACGTTTAATTTTTTTTTTTTCATTTTTTTAATTAAACGAATTTTAAAATAAAATTTTTTTTTTTTTTTTTTTCGATAAAAAATAATATTTAAATTTTACAGATTAGACCAAAGAGTCCATATTCCCAATCCCAGGGAAAAATTTCAAGAGATTTTATTTACAGAGGAATCAAGTGAGTAAATTTTTCTAAATTTATAAAAGATATCATTATTATTATTATTATTAATAATAAAAGATTTACGAGGGGTTTATATAACCGTAAGGGTAAAACGTGATTATTTTTTTTTTTTTTTTCGTTAAAGTAAACCTCGAAATACATCGTATCCTGTTCCTGTCCATGCAGTGCCACCTCGAACGAGACATCGACCTTATAAACCCTTTAAATGGCAATCATCACATTTACCCGTGATTGATGATGATCTAAACGATTCTAACAAACCACCCATTCCGCCTCCGAGGAAAAAAAGAAAACGGAAAATCAATTCTTCGGAGGTTTTAAATAACCAATTACCGGAGGTTAGTAATTTTTATCGTTAAAATAATATTCAGATTATTAAAAAAAAAAAAAAAATGTAATAAAATTTGTTTTTTATATTCAGTCAATTATAATGGTAAAAAAAAAAATTTTCTTTTTAGTTGTGTTCTCCGAGTTACGTACTCTATTCGGAAAATCTCATGAATCAAAATAAAACAAACAAATCCAACGGAAATGGAAATAACGGTAACCGAATGTTTGAAAGATCGCATTGTAAAAAGAAAAATTCAGGACAAGATCGTTTCGGTAAAATATCCGGAAATAGAATGAAAAAATTTTTAATGGATTCCACTTCGAAAGATGTTAAAGATGAAGAAATGAAAAATAATAATAATAATAATAAAAATAAAAAAATGGAACGAAAAATCAAACACGTTTCAACTGTATCTTTACCGAATTACAACGAGCTAATAAAAAAAAGTCTCAGAAAAGTCTCAGCTGACGCGGAAAATGTCGATTATAAAAATGGGAATCAATCAGCGACGGGGTCGGTGAAACTCCCCCGTCGTAATTCGTCTTCTATATCGCTCCCTGGAGAAGGATCAAATTCCATACTGAGCTCACTTTCGGAGGCCACCATCAATTGTTTTGAAAATTATATGAAAAGATGTCGGAGTTTCGGGTCTTTAAAACCTCAAATGCTCACGGATAAATCAAATGATTTTAATAAAACTCACAGATCATCGTCCGAAAGTTCGGACAGTTGGTCGGGTTTAGGTGAATGGGATCTCGGAGTAATAGAACATTGTCAACCGACCCATAATGCCGAATCTCACGTCAAACCAAAGTTAAAAAAAAATAAAGAAGATTTTGTGTTTTCACGCGACGTAAACAACAAATATCGGGGAAAAAAATTTAACGATAAATTAAATGACGAAATAATAACGGAAATCAAAACGGTTGAAATCAAATCGGTACCATTGGAATGGTTTTTAAATCCGGAAAAAAGACCTCCAGCCATAATGCCGGCAACGAAATCGGGTAAAATTTTTTCAATAACGCCACCCCCATCGCCGGAAGGTGGAGAAACAACGGACGAAGAAAACGATGGAAATTTCCCTTTAGAATTTGACACGAATCCAACCGAACATTCTTCTTTACTTAAAATACTAAAACAGTACAAAGAAGATAAAAGTGATGAAAAGACTCAGATGGACGCGGAAAAATTAGTGAACGTAGTTATTACAAACGATTCTCAAAAGAATTCTATGAATTTTGATGAAGTGAATCCGAATGATGATGATGATAATGATGATGAATCTTCAAAAGAATATCAAACAAATCTTTTTATTAGGAGAATAAGCCGGTCAAACAGTTTTGGAAATGAAAAATCTAATCCTCCTTTACAAGATTGGTACAGGCTACGTTCTCCCTCGGTCGGTTTAGAATGTTCGACGCAACTTCTTCGACAATTACAAAAAAATCAGGAAGATATAGAAAGAGAAATTTTTTTAAGGCCGAACGAATTGTTGAATAGATTAAGGAGGGAAAGCCTTTTTCGTAGCGTGCCGAAAGATGCATTTGAAGCTTTCGAAAAAAGGAAAACGATTCATTTGAGAGAGTCGCTCAATGAATTTTTAGGTTTTAAAAATGACGATAAAGATACCGCGACGACTGACGATAATAATGATGAAAATTTAAAAAAAAAAAAAAACTAAAAATTAAAATCATTTGAAGAAAAAAAAACGAAAACAAACAATTCAAAAACATTTACAATATCGTCCTTCGCCATATCATTCATTCAATTCAATACATTTTTTTTTTTCTCAATACTCTGATTCCTAACACACTCTAGTCACGCTAATAATAATAATAATAATAATAATAATGATAATATTTAAAACGATATTCCCTCGCGAATTTAAAAATTATTTTACTTTTTTTTTTTTTTTTGTCAACAAAACGAGCGCAAGTATTGCAAAATGCAGCGCAATATTATTCGGGCGTTTAGTTTTATAAATAAATAAATAATAATAATAATTATTTTTTTTTATTAAAAAAGTAATTAAAACGCGTAATTATTTATTATTATTTATTTTTAATTCGTTGGCGTTATTATATATATATATAAATCCCGACGGCATTTTCGTAAAAATAAATTTTTTTTTTTTAATAAAATTTTTCGTTTCTAAATATGTGAGTAAATAAATTTTCAAAAAAAAAAAGAAAGTGTAACAATAATTTTTTAATAATAATAATAATTAATCCTTTCGTTACATTTATTATTTCATCATCATCATTATTATTATATTCCCTTCGTTATTAATAATAACTACGAGGACGACGACGATAATAATAATAATAAAATAATTAAAATCTACTACGTAAACTCTATGACATTAAATTATCACGAACGAAATATATATATTATGGGGAGACATTTAAAAAAAAAAAAAAAAAAAAGATTACTTTGTTGATTTAAATAAATAAAAAAAAATTAAAAAAATAAAATAAAACTCAATGAAAATAATAATAATAACAATGATAATGATAATAATGATGATGATGATGATGGTGATAATAATAATAAAACTTCCGCAACTTTTTTTTTTTTTTTTTTAAATAACTTTTTCAATAAAAAATGCATTAAAACAAAGTTACAAAAAAAAAAAAAAATAAAAGAAAGAAAAAAGAAAGAGAAAGACAGAAAGTAAAGGAAAGAAAATAAGAAAAGAAAGAGAAAAAGAAAAAGAAAATTTTAACTCGCGAGGGAATAATATTTGGCTTTATTTTAAAAATTTTATAAAGTTTAAAAAAAAAAAAAAAAATTTTTTTTTTTTTTAAAGTCATAAAACTTTTATTTAAAAAGTCATAGACTTATTTTAATTTAAACCTTAAAAACAAAAAAAAATAAAACAACAGATTTTTTTTTTTTTTTTAACAACAAAAAAGGATATTCAGAATAAAATAATAAATTTTTTTATAAAATATTTTTTTTAACGAATTTTTCCTTTTTTTCTATTTTTTTTTTTTTTTTCATTATTCTCTGCATAAAAATGTTATTATTATCATTTTTAATTTTATAATACGTGACGTAAAATTCGTTTTTTAATTTTTATAAAATGTATTCGCTCAAGTTTGTTTGTACTCCAACAATCTTTTTAATATATGAATAAAAATGGCCGCCGCTTATACGTAAATCGATTCCTTTAAAAATTGTTTTATCAAAGTATTGTCTTCAAGTTCTTCTTCTTCTTCTTCCTCAAGTTTTTTTTTTTTTTTAATGCTTTTGTCAATTCTAAATAGTTTTAGATTTTGTTCGAAACATTTTCTTTATTACTTTTGTAATATTTATATATTAGAGACCTTTTTGGTCTTGTTAGCCTTTAGTAAATTTTTTATGCTGCCGTATATATTTTTTTTTGTTTTGTTGGTACGTATGAAGCTTTTACACATTTTAATATTATTATTATTATTACGCAACGAAGTAAAACTTTTCAAGGAAGTTTTAGTAAAAGAAAAATAAAATTAAATTAAAAAAAGAAAAAAAATTTCAAACGCATGAAAAAGAATAAATTAAAAAAAAGATGCACAATCACGGATTAGAAGAGAGAGAGAGAGAGAGAGAGAGAGAGAGAGAGAGAGAAACACGTTT